CTTTCCACAGAACAACTGTGTCAACTCTTGAAACTGTGCCTGCAGTCAACCTACTTCACATATGGGGAGCAATATTATAGGCAGAAACATGGGTGTGCTATGGGGTCTCCAGTTTCTCCTATTGTTGCCAACCTGTACATGGAGGAGGTAGAAAAGAGAGCCTTGACGTCCTTTTCAGGGACACCACCAAGTCATTGGTTCAGGTATGTTGACGACACCTGGGTTAAAATTAAATCTCAGGAAGTCCAACATTTTACTGACCACATCAACTCTGTGGATAAATACATCAAGTTCACACGAGAAGATGAAAAAAATGGCAAGTTGGCTTTCTTGGACTGTGAGGTCTCAGTCTCTGATAGAGGACATTTGCAAACTGAGGTGTACCGCAAACCCACCCACACAGACCAGTATTTGCAGTTTGACTCCCATCACCCTTTGGAGCACAAGTTAGGAGTCATCAGGACTCTGTACCACAGAGCAGACAGCGTCCCCACTAACTCAGGAGCCAGGCAGAAGGATAATTTTTTTTTCTCCCAGGCTCTCATCGAGGTGGCAGCATCTGTCTGAAGCGCCTGGGTCTCATCTCCCGAACATAAATTAATATTATGGATTTGGTATTGTGGGCGTTCAACTCTATTGATAAGATTTTTTCATCAAAGCAACAAGGTCCTGGAGAACCGGCGTGTCCAGCTGAGACTCACGCTGTGGGGTACGTCATGTATTTGTGGGGAGTGTGGCAGCTGATGTGTCTCTCAGTTCTGTCTCAGGAGGCTGTTGAAGACGTTTACATATTTGGAATTATGATAGCAGGGACTCTGCTTTTTGGCATCGGCGGGGCTCTGTTTTATCGACTTTTGAAGCAGACAGCGGCAACAGTTTCGACCATGGTAAAGCTTCTGAGTCAGTGTGAAGGATTGGTCCGTGCAATAGGAACTTTAAATCATCTGGTTTACAAGCTTAACCGTAAGGTGGAGGCGATTTATGAGAATCGCAGGCCACCTGCGGCTTCTGGGACTCGTCAGCGTGGTGGGTTTGAAGGAGACTCATAGCATGGATCAGTGGAATGGAATCCCACAATTAGGCATTTTCAGAACCAGAACGCCCAGACTGGCTCAAGGCTGGAAAAAAAGTAATCACTGCCTGAAGAAAAACAAGAATCAAGCTTATCTAAATCTGACTCCAGACGGCCTCAGAGACAGGCCGACTATCAATTTCTCCTGGGACATGAGTACCCAAGGACAAAAGCTTCATCTATCGCACCCCCCCCCCCCA